GCTTACTTTCATGGTTGTAATGTTTGGAGAAATCGGAACAAAAGAAGAAGACGAAGACGAAGAGAGCTAAAGTCTGGAAAGGATTTATGTTGAAGGTCTCGAGAGAGAGAAAGAAGCTGAAGCGATTTAAGTTTTGTTTCCTTATGAATTTTTTTTTTGTCATGTTTTATAATTTGGTCCCAAATTTAGGCCCAAAACGAAATTTTTTTGACCAAGTGTTTGCCGCTTTTGATGATTTTAGGCTCGCAAAGTTAAATTTAGTTTCCAGCTCAGTTATTTTCATGTTTAGCATTTTTATAATGCTATCATTTATAAGCCTGATCTATTTAATTACTTTCAATAGCACTTACGAAAATTGAGGTATCGTAATGTGCTATCAATAAGTTTTTTTTTGTAGTACAATGTCAGCCCAAGGTATGGCCCATTTTTGATGCACCCTCCCATTTTCGGTTTGTCCATTGGCCGCTTGGGTTAAGGCTGGTGTAAACCTGTTGCTACTTGAGCGTGCATAGATAAATTATGAGATAATGATTAGCCGGCTAAAATTAATATTTAGAAACAATATATAAATAGCCGGTAGATAATGGGAAATGCTACAAATAGCGGCTAACACTAGCCGTTTCTGTATATAAGTTTTTTTACCAACTTTAAATCGTATTTAAGGATAGTTAATGACAAAGGATAGTTAATGACAAAGATTTCCAGCTAACAAAATTTTTATTCCGGTATACTGATCTATGTCCATCGTTACCAGGGCTTGGTCATGCTCGGATTCAAATTAAGCAGTAAGATAAGTCTCACTTGAAGAATCCGTGGAAGAGAACTCATCAGTTGGTTCCAAAGCTAGGCGAAGCACGGGATTACTGACCATAACTGGTGGTGGCACGATGGTTTGAGGCATTGCCTCTTCCATTACCATTTCTGGCACAGCTCGATTCTCCTCAGCTATAGCTGCCTCGGCCATAAGCCCTTCCCAGTAGAGCATAGCATCATCAACTCCAGCGTAGTTATGGTTTTCATTTGTTTGCATATAGTCGTCCAGCAAGTTGATTCCCACGTCTCCAAAGTCATGATGCTCTTGAGTAAGGCGTATACCATCAACTTCCTCGTTTGTTGGACCTGTTTCAAATGTATATACTTCATAAATTTTGGGCAAAAGTTGAGAAAATAATTCATATCCTTCCAAAACCAATGTATTCGTCAAGGTAAAGTATACTCTACTCTACTTGTTAATTGATTGAAGTGTAATCACGTACCTTGATGGTCAGAGACATTAGGCGGCAGTCCAGAGGCATGAATATTGTTTTGAGCAGGACCCGTATTGCTGTCATCGTCAACATCTAGTACTATAATTTCTGGATTAGCTGCTGGGAAGTTTTGACGGGGCAGTTGTTGGGGATACTGAATAGGGTTTGAGTAAAGCCTTTCCAAGTGAACTCTGTAAACCGTAACCATCTGCTCCTCAGTGAAGATTTCTTCCAACACACTCTGCGCCCCGATTATTGTCGGCTCTGTTATTAGATCTGCACATTTATTAATGTTTTGATGCAAATATCTTTGTTTTCAAAACATTTCATTCAAGGTGCTCATTAGTTTCTTACCGACATACGCCGCTAGGTTATTAGAAGTATTGTCACCGGCATCATGCTCAGGGAGATATGATGTACCGCCAACAAAGAAAGTCTTACGACACTGGAACTAGTACGTAGCAACAGACTCAGCTCCTGTTGTTACACAGAGAGTTAGTTCTGGGTAAACAAAGCGGCATGACATAAACTCGATAACATCTTCATCTGTCAAGATATAAGCCGACGGTCCACTGGTCAGAATCGGGTCCGGTATCCATTGAGGCAGCCTGTATGTCAAGACCATTGGTGTTTGAGGTCCGACCAATAACCTTGCCTAACGTGTCGTAGTTCTCCGTGTCACTTACGGTTATTCCGTAACCTAGATCTGACGGGTCGCTTCGAAATTCCCACTTCGCGTAGTCTCCTTTTATCCAATCTCCCTTCAAAATCCGAACTAATCTTCCCATCTACGAGACAAATTTAAATAAACAAGAGTTAGCCGGTTTTTTTGTTCCAATCTCCGATAAATCTGGAATCAAAAGTAGAAGATTTTTTCCAAGATGAAAGAAGAGAATGCATTTATGGAATGTTCTAATTTATAGCTCACTAGCAAACGGAATTAAAGTCATAAAAGCCAAAAACAGAAAACAACAACGATTTGGTGGGGACGTACCTTAACGAGGTAGGTGAGACCTCGCTTAAATTCCTTAGATGTTTGTCAACGTTGCTTTTGACTGAAGAATGTATGAAGCTGAAGGAAAATAAGCTTGAGAGGCGGTGCTTTTAGTTGTCCTCCGGATATTCTCT